ACTTTTTAATTTCACCTTCTTTTAATGCAATTGTTTTAATTTTTATTCTGATATATATTCCTTTGAATCCATGATGTTTTTATATTTTTGTTTATGTGTCTGTCTTTTTTCATATCTACGTGGTTTTTGTATCTGCGATGCTTCTGTATCTATGTTGTTTGTATCTATGTATCTTTGATGTTGGCTGCCAAAAAATGTTGTTAGTATATGAAATGATATGTAGGATGACTTTTTGCCATGTTATTGAGATTTATTTCTTTCAGCTTTCAGTTTGATTTTTTCCCAACATATCATCGCCCGCAATATACGTAGAGCTGCACATCTAAATAGCTGAGTTGAAAAAAAATTCTAAAATTCATAAACGAAATTGAGAAATAAAAAAAATTGATCGCATTATGGAAAATTTTAAAAATTAATTTGATTAATAAAGTCGTTTTCTCAAAAAAATTCTCCAATAAAATATAAAAATGAAACATTTTTTTAAAAAATAACTTAATAAATAAATAAAAATAAAAAATAAACATAAAAGAACAAAGAAACAAACTGGAACAAAGTTGAACGAATGAAGGGGAAGAAAGAATTTTTTATGATTAAAAAATTTTTCGCTTCAATTTATAGTCCTTCCATATAGATGTTTTATTCCATGAGCCTGATGCTATTTCTGCTGTTGTCGTGGTGGTTTGTTGTTGCGTTGTTGTTGCGTTGTTGATGTGATGTCATTAATTTTCTTGTTGTTGTCGTTGTAATGTCATTTAATTTGTCGTTGATGCGGTTATTAATATCACTATTGTTGTTATTCTTCGTTATTAATGTTGTAAACGATGATGCAATGTTAGTGTCGTTGTTGTGAAAGTTGTACACACACACTGCAACAAACACACTTCTCGATTCAATAAACAACCTTCTTTGTTTACCGGCTCCTACAAACATATGCCCACACGTCTAATCATGCGTTCGTCTGCCTGTATTGTACACACTGCAACTTTGTACACTCGTGTATACACACATACACACACACACGTACATATACACACACAATGTACACATACACTAGAAATGTACGTACTTACATCACACACACACACAGACACACACACACACACAGACACACATTACACAACGTAACCTATGTGGCATAAATCTTCAGACTTGCAGACATTCCAGCATAAACAAATATACAGGCTTAAACACTGCTCATCTTTTGAATGTTTAGATGTTTGCTTTCAACTACGAATTTCAAATGCAAGCGTGGATATGTGCTAGTCAGTTAATACATATACAAGCATGACTTACATACACATACAAACACATTCTCACAACATACGTGTACGCATACCTACAAAGACACACACACACACAAATTACGCAAATTCTATGGTCAATATAGAAAAATGCACTTGCATGTAAGCGTACTACAATAAATCTAAAAAGAACTTTAATAATAAAAATAACTCTTTTAAAGTATCTCTCTGCAGTGCGAGTTTGAACGAAAACAAATACAAGAACCTGTAGAAACAGAAACAAAAATTTCAACATACTTAGAGAAAATCAAACAGGCAGACATATAGACACGGAGACCGCAACCAGCAACCAGCAACGAGACAGTCACACGCACATGGAGCGTTACAAATAAGAAAACATGACATTGAGACGGGAACGCGCATCGGATGATCCTCGTTATTGTCGCCTGTCTGGCCTCAAAATCACGTTCTCATTACTCCAATCCCAGGCCTCATGCTCTGATTTATTTACAAGATGGCGAGGTGCCCGCTAAGAGAGTGTTAGTTAGAACAGGTTTTAATTTATCGTCTACTTTTTCTACGCAAGCCCTGATGTACGATCTGGTATTTTCTGCATTCTCCCTTCTCTTATTTTATTAAGTTCTGTCTCTGTGTGTATGTGTGTGTGTGTTTGTGTGTGTGTGTGTGGCCGCGATGTTGGCGTTTTGTTTCTAGACGCTGAGCGGTCTGATTATATTTTATGGTATTTCATTGGATATATAGCTGTTGTATTTTGTGTTATTAGGTATTTGGTTGGGAATAGTGGCGTTTTTAGTTGAGTTGTATTAGATGTATTTTGCATTTCTAAGTGTTTAATAATGTATAAGAGTATTTCGTTTTTGCAGAGTATTTCTATGTTTTGTTTGATGAAGTGTTTTTTTTATTTTGATATGGTTTTTGGTAACATTTTTGAGATAATTTTTCTTTAAATGAAATAATTCAACAAACGAAACCCGGATGTAAGTGACAGAAAGAAAGAAGAAACAACTGTTTCATTAAATTATGAAGTTAAGTTATGTATAAATATATAATATATGAACAAACAAACAAGTATACTAGCAAACAAGCGAACAAACAAACGAACAAACATTTGAACATGTATGAGCAAGTGGGGTGAACGTTTGCTAAGGAAGTCCATTAAATGCATTTCAACACAAACGAAAGAAATACAATTATTGCATTCATAACCCGGTCAATTCTGGCAAATATGTATGTATGTATGTTTGTATGTATGTTTGTATGTATGTATGTATGTATGCATGTATGTATGTTTGTTTGTTTGTTTGTATGTATGTATGTATGTATGTATGTTTGTATATATGTATGTATGTATGTATGTTTGTTTGTTTGTTTGTTTGGCTGTTTGTTTGTTTGTTTGTATGTATGTATGTCTATATGTATGTATGTATGTATGTATTTAGGTTGGTATGTATTTATTTATCTATGTATGTATGTATGTATGTACAATAATAATAAAAATACTAACAAGAATAGAAATATAGTAGCAATAGTGAAATGTTGATAATGGCATGAATAAAAGAATAATAAAAAGCGCTATAAACTGTTAGTATTAGCAATAACAATGACGATCAAAAACCACCCATAAACCTTTTTCAAACGAACTCTCGAGGGAAAATCTTTGAGTTATTTATGATCTTTGGAGGAAATTATTTTGGTGGGGAGGGTAAGAGAATTGGTTGGCCGCCGTTGTCGTTGACAATGGTGACGATTATGATGACGGAGAGGATGATGATGATGGTTAGGATGATGATGATGATGATGATGATGATGGTTAAGATGATGATAATGATGAGGGTGGTGGTTAGGATGATGATGATGGTTGTGGTATTGATATAGAGGATGATACTGGTGATGATGATTAGGTCGTTGCTAACAATGAGTATGGCGTTGATGTTTTTCTCATGATGATGATGATGGTATTGTTGATGATGACGATGACGATGATGACAAAGTTGATGATGACGATGATGACAAAGTTGGTGATGATTGTGATTATTGTAGGCAATGTGATGACGACGAAACTTTTGATGATGATGATGACGACGATGATGATGGCAATTACAAAATATATTATTCATGGTGTTATTAATTAATGATGACGACGACGACGACGATGAAAATGATGATTATTTCCAAACATACTCAACTCATTTCTAAGCAGTTTTCATTTTAGCTAGTGATTGCATATAATGACGATGATGTCTCACATGATGATAGTGATGATAGGGTCGGTAATGATAATGATAATGGTAATAGAGTCGGTGATGATAATGATGAAGATGATGAATATTTGTTTTTCCATGAAGACGATAATAATAATATTGGAGGTTATTTCTGACAGTTTTTATTTAAACTTTTTTGTATTTTAAAGAGCAGAAGGCTCTGAGATAGAAATATTTTTTGATACCAGAAATGTGTTATGTGTCGAAATGTTTGCATACAAACCATACTTATACCCATAAAATTTATTCCTTGCTTCTAAATAAAGTTTCTAGCGATAAATTTTTACTGATTTTTCTAGATTTTTATTATTATTCCATAATGTTTGTGATAATTTTAGTTATGTGTTGTTGGCTTGATATCTTTATTTTTGTTGTTGTTGTTGCTGCTGCTGTTGTTGTTGCTGCTGTTTGAATGATCCAATTCCGTCATCGTTAATAACCAAAATGCCTGCACCTCTCACATATTATTCCAGTCAAACAGTCGTAATCATAGCAGCCGGAAATGCGTAGTTTTATTAATTTTATGATCTTTGGTTTTTCGCTGATCACGTGATTATCCCATTTTATTTGCCGCTTTCCGGTTTTCGTCGGACTGGTTTGCATAAATAGTCTTGCCAAGATTTGTTGATATTGCTGT